CACCTTCTGGGTTCAAGTGATTCTCCTGCCACAGCCTCCCAAGTAGCTGGGATTACAGGTGAGCACCACCACACCCGGCTCATTTTTGTATTTTTAGTAGACAGGGTTTCACCATGTTGGCCAGGCTGGTCTTGAACTCCTGGCCTCAAGCAATCCCCCTGCCTTGGCCCTCCAAAGTGCTGGGATTATAGGTGTGAGCCATCATGCCTAGCCAACCAGCCTCACTTTCAGAGCCGGGACACAGCTGTCCCCAAGTGACCAAAGTCCCCATCAGTGAACTCTCACCCCCAACACAGAGACATGAACACGGACGCAGGGATGGGGGTGTCTTTGCCCTTGTAGACCTCAGAGCAGGTCAGCATCTATGGACACCGTCAACTGGCTGAGGAATTGTCACACACAGTGAGAGGTTCCCCTCAGAGACCCAGCACACCGGGCTGCAGTGAGCTGGGGAGACAGAAGCCTCAGATTTGAGGAGGTGAAAGAATTGTGTGCCACACAGACTGGGATACTAGAAGAGAGATCAGTGTGGGAATCGATGTTAATTAGAATGATGGCACAGAGCAGCCTTTGATAAATATGGATGAAAACCTGATGAACGAATGAATTAATGAGCCAAATGCTATTCCCATGTCTGTTGCTGTCTGCCCCGTGGGACAAGGCGTGTTTTATAACGATGAGCTACACGCGGAGAAACAGCACACCAATCTACTCCACGGATATAAATCTAATTCTGCCTTCGAAGAATCATTTAGAAAGGCTGGGTGGAGGGTGGGCGCCCCAGGCCACATACATGCAATGAACACACACTCCCCACCCCAGCCTCCTTGAAAACCCTCCCAAGGAGAGAACGAGTTGAAAATTCAGGCAGGGTAAAAGTTGGCCCATCTTTCTCAGGGGGAAAGATGAGGAAGGGGAGTGTGGCTGAGAGTAGCTCACTCTGGTCTTTGTGTGGGCTAGGGCAGGGACGTCGCAGGCCACTGCAGCTGCTGATGGAGGGCCACTGCTACCTCTGGCTCTTTTTCTTTCTTTCAGATGAACTTTTTTAAATTACGTAATTTATTTTTATGGAAAAGAGAGAAAGGAAAGAGAGACAGAAAAAGCAAAACAAGACAAAAAATCTTCTTGTCCTGCATCTGCTTGGTACCTGTGGATTCCCACCCCCACACCCAGCTCCCTTTTCCCCCCACCCCCGGCCAACCCCACCAATGGTCCACTTTAACATCTGCTATGGTGCCTTTTGTCTCTTTCCAGATTTCCCATGCAAATACAGCCAATTGTGAATACACAGGGGGAGGGGGACTACTAAAACCTCCCCTGTGAAGTCTGGAATTGGATTCTTCTGAAAATTCTGCTTTGCATGGCACGGTGGCATGCAGATGGGGGTTGGGGCCAACAGTGCCCTGTCCCAGCCCTCTCACGGCCCTCCTGGCTCTGATGACCGCCCCCAAATGGGCCTGGTGAAGGGACAGGGCGGGATCCTCCCCGGCTGGGACCAACTCCTTTTGTCTTTCCCACGCCCCACCCTGTGTGTGTGTGTGTGTGTGTGTGTGTGTGTGTAAGGGGTGGACCCTGTGGGCCACGATGCCCTCTGACCTTCAGTCCTGACAGCCCCTGGGCTCACACGGTAGCCTCAGCCCAGGTTCTCCTGGGGAAACTCAAGCTGCCCATGGACACCCAGTGCCTGAATCCCTTTCTGGTGCCCCAGCTGGCCTGACTGCTAGTGATGGGCTTGTCCCCAGCATCCCCTGTCCCAGCACCCCATCAGGGTGGGGGGCACCCTATGGTGAGAAAGCCTGGCAGGTCACATGCTGCCGAAATACTGTCAGGTCAAGGGTCACAGTCCCTAGGCCGGCCTGAAGCAGCTGGCAGCGGCGGGGAGAAGGGGAGGCCAGCACCAGCGTCCTGGCTGCAGGGACCTCGGGCTCCTGCCCCCCAGGCCGTGTGGCTGCCTCAAATGCCCACCGTAAAACCCTCGGGGAGTGGGTCTCTACCCGGAGAGTTTGCCCCCAGGGGACATTTAGCCGTGTTCAGAGACGTTTGTGTTTGTACGGTTAGGGGGCTGGCTGTGCTCCTGGCATCCAGTGGAGGGTGTCAGGGATAATATCCTGTAGTGCCCAGGCCAGCTCCACTACACAGCGATCCGGCCCCAAATGTCGCTGGTGGAGCCGAGGAACCCCGGTCTAGAACCAGACATAAGGCAGCGGCAGGGCTCCCCGTGCCCTCGGCCCCACTACGTCCACCCGTGGAAACTCCACGACCCGGCGGGCCTCCGGGAGGGGATTCTTCCCTTGGGAAAAGGGGCCTGCTTCCCTGGCCTAACCCACCCCACCCCCGTCTCTGCGCTGGCCTGAGAGACACGTGGATGAATGCGGCCCCCGCAATCCCCGGCTGCTGCGAGGCCCGGCTCTGAGGGCGGGGAGGGGCGGAGCGCGGCGGCCCGGCCCCAGGCTACAGCAGGAGCTGGGACAGCTGGCTCCGGCCGCCGCCCGGCAGCGAAGATCGGGTTGCAGGGGCCGGGGCGGGGCTTGAGGTGGGGCACGAGAGGCGGCCTCAGGTTGGCTGGAGCTGAGGTGGCCGGGCCCTCGCGGGAGAGGCACGTGGGCGCGCCTGCTGCTCGGGCCCACCCCCACCTCCCCCGACCCAGGTGCGTGCGGAGGAGTGGGCTGTCTGCGGCTGGGGTTCCGGGGCCCCGCGCCCTCTCCCAACCCGGTCAGATTATGACGCTGGGTTAAGGACGGAGCGTAAAACCTTCCCTGGGCCCTGGCCTCCATGGCCCTCTCATGCCGTCGGTGGAGTTGGGGATGAGGCAAGCCACTGTCGCCTTTGGGTGAATCAGAAGAAGGAGCCACTTCCAGGCCCCTGGCTTGGAGGAGTCTGCGGGGGTGAGAGGTGGGGGGATGGGGCGGACAACCGGCTGGGACAAGCACCACTCACCCCCGACGGGACCCAGCTTCTCTGTCCAAAGCATAGCCAGGCGGTGACCCTGTGTCCACCCAGTTCTGCTCGAGACTTTGAGTCGGAACCCCTAGGGGTGTATCTGTGGCACAGCCCTGGGGCTTTAGGTCCCCTCTCCACTGCTGGGGACACCAACTTCAGGGCTTAGACAGAGCTGGAGACATCAGGGTGCATTTTACAGATGAGGAAACCCTTGTGGGGATGGGGAGGGGGTCAAGGGAGCTGTTGAAGGCCACAGAGCTAGCTGGAGCCAGGACCTGTCCGAGATGCCCTGCCCGCCACGAAGGTGCCGCTTGAGAAGTGGATGCCCGGGGAAGCTTGCTGAAGGCACCTGCCTGCTTAATCTCAAAACGCATTTGCTGGAACTTACATGGCCGCTCCCACTTCAGCCCTAAGGCCTGACCTGGCAAAGGAGGGCAGGGACCAGATCGCTCTTAACTCCACTGCCTCCTGTCCACCCAGTAGACAGTGGACTTTGCTGTCAGAAAGCAGTTCTGTCCCAGCTCTTCAGCCTAGCTTCCTAGACTTCCTGTGCACCTGGAGACCCTCCTAATGCCTCTGATAGCCCTTCTCCCCTGCCAGTCAGGGCGCGGGCACTGCCAAGGGTCTCTCTCCTTAGCATCCTCTTCCAATCGCGGCAACCTGCCAAGCCACCCACTCTGGGGACCCAGGGCATGAGGCAGCGCAGAGGGAAGGGAGGATGTGGCACCAGGAGGTGCCAAACTGAAATCTGGCTGGAAGACCTGCTTGTCTGGGCAGGAAACACTGGGCAGATGGTGCCTGGATGCTCTGCCTTGGCTGTGACTTTCATGGGGGTTACCTGGAGGGGACAGAACGCCAAACACAAACTCAGGAGGCTGGTACCCCCATTTTTCAGATGAGAAGACTGAGGAAGGACCAAGGGAGCTGCTGAAGGTCACAGAACTACTAACAGCCAGGATCTGAACCCACAGCCTCTGATTCCAAAGTCGTATTTTCTCCGTGCTGCAGAATTGCCTCCTGCTACAAGGGCATGGGTCCCTGCTACAGGGGCATGGGTCCCTGCTCCCCACCTCCTTCTCTGAGGGTACTGATGTCTCCCTTTCAATCCCCCGCACCCCAGAGGGATGCGCCACTCCAGCCTCTGCCCATCAGCAACCTTTTCTCAAGGAGGATGAGGTCAGAGCCGCACCCCGAGCCCAAGGAGGATGAGGTCAGAGCACTCCCGGTCTGGTGCAGGTGCTAAATAATTCATGCAGCTGCTGTGAACAGGGGCTGCAGCTTCCTGGAGGGCCCAGAGTGGAGGCAGCAGACAGGAAACACATTCTGGTCCCTGGCACCTGTGCCTGACCTTGGCGCGTCCTCTGGGGCTAGTGAAAATGCTGGCCTTGGCGAGAATGGCTTGGAGGGCCGACAGACCCTTCCGAGCAGCACCCCCACGGGACAGGCACTTAGCCTCCGTTGCTTGCTTTCTTCTATGAGCTGCGAGGGGCTGACGAACAAGTGCAGGGCCATGAGTAAACTGGAAAGTCAGGCATGGCACTCGGCAGGTCTTTATGGCCCGGGGGATTTACCAGCCATCCCTGGTTCTGGTATGCCTTTCTGTGCACTGAGAATTTCACCCAATAGGTGTCCTGGCTGCCTCTTCCAGCCATGCCAGGCAGCAACAGGGATACTATTGGGGTTGCCCCACTCCCCACTCATATCTTGTGTAGGTGTCAGAGTTCTCTGTCCTTGACTGGTAGAGAGCTCAGTGGTTTTTGGAGGCCTGATTTTCCCCAACAGAGAAAAAGGTTAGTTGGAATCAAACAGCCTTTGTTGGTATAAAAAGCAAGAGGACTAGCAGGGAAATACACATGAAAAAAATCCCAGAGGCAGGGTGGGGGGTGGGGGAGCAGGCACCGGGAATCCCAGCTACACGGAAGGCTGAAATGGAGAATCGCTTGAGGTCAGGAATTCAAGACCAGCCTGGGCAACGTAGCAAGACCCTGTCTCTAAAAATAAAATAATAGTAGTTTTAAAAAAAACTAGTAACTCCCAGAAGAATTTATGAACACACAGGAATTCAATGGCAGTAAGCCCTCACCCACAGAGGGTAAGGTCATTTAATTCCGAGCAGTTATGAAGTCCAGAGTCCTCGGTTTGACAGTGGTGGGTGTGAGATTTCCCACGGTGTTGGCTGGATGGTGGTGAACCCGCGACAGGCTCTGCCTCTTCTAGTTTTCTTCCATTCAGTGCTTGTTTGTGATGCCACTCGACCACCTCAAAGAAGCCACCTCTCTCCTCTTAAGAACTCATCTAACTTCTTCTCCACTTAGCCCGGGCAGGAGTAAGCAGGGCCGGTGCGTACTCCTGAATACAGGCAGGCCTGCATCTTTTAGGAGCCCATCCCACCCTGGGCCTCACGCGCGGAGCCCCCAGAGGACTCAGGCTATACACAAACCCGCATCCACTGGAGACTGCAGCCTCTGGGCAACAGGCACTGCCAGGGACTCCTTTGAAATTATCACATAGGAAAGCAACGCAGCGCCTCGATTCACTAAGGGATCTTGGGGCTGCTAAGCTAGACCAAGCGCAGGGTGAAGTCCACAGAGCTCCCTGCTTCCCTTCCACTGGAGGGAAACAACACTCTGTTCATGGACTTTAGCAAGCAACAAAGACAGGCCGGGGGCCACAGTCAGGGCTGCAGTCCTACTCTGCAGGGATTGCTCGCCCAATTTAGCTCTGGAAAAGTACGCCAGTGACAAAGGCACAGGCTGCTGGGGATGGGAGTAGCACCGGAGGGCTGTGGGACGGACTACAGGGCACCCCCACCCAGAGAGCTGCTCTGGTCGTCACCCTCCACCCCGGTACCCAGAGGTGCTGCTGGGCTGGGGACTGAGCTCTAGGGCCCACCTTGGATAAGGGCAGGAAAAACCCCAGGAAGCCAATGCTATAGAGAGTTCATTTCCGCAAGCCTGGAGCTGTGCCCATCTCTTCCTCAGTGCCAGCACCATGGAGGCCCTGAGAAGGCACCCTCTTCACTGGGTGCCCGTCAGGATCCTCTGGAGCATGTCTGAGGGCTCAGAACACAAGAGGCTCCTCCAGTGATGAACCGGCACCAGCACATCCAGGTGCTGCTCAAGATGAGGTAGAAACTCAACACGTCTGCCCATCAGGAAACAGCAGAGTCTTTAGTCCTGGATCCCACTTACCTGAGGATCCCACTTACCTACTTACATATCTGCCCATCAGGAAATAGCATAATCTTTAGTCCTGGATCTCACGGGCCTCCCACGTCCCACAAGTCCCAGTCACGAGAGAGGCCTAGACTCCAGTTCATCTGGTCCAGGGCTCTCCACTGGTCCCTGAGAATGCAGTCCGAACCCCGACCCCACGTGTCCTAAGGGTACTTCCAGGCCCTGACCAGAGATGTTGGAATAGCCACAGCAGGCATTCGGGGAATCCAACTGCATTCCCAGAACCTGTGAGATCCAGGTAATCAGGGTCATGGACACCTGTTCCTGCCACAGGAGCCACCTTGAACCCCAGATGCCAGGGTGGCCTGCCATTCCCAACTCCTTAGTGAGCTGTCCATGAGGTACTGCTGGATAAAGAGAGCCCCCATCCCAGCATGCTCATCCTCGTCACAGACGGTGAGGGGCACTGGGGGCAGAGCTCAGGCAGGGCTGGCCCTGGCTTGCAGGTGGGACCGGCTTCGTGGAAGATGGGGACGGCTCAGGGGCTCTCAAGTGAAACACCCCAGGGGTTCAGATCCGGGACCCGTAGGCCGTGGAGAGAAGCAGTGTGCCCAAGCCTCGGGCTGAGCTCTGCCCCCATCTCAGTGGCCTTCCACAGTCCAGGTGGTGGCAGGAGGCCCTGGTGAGAAGAGCAAGGGCCAACTGCTGTCCTGGCTTGGCCTCAAAGACTCATGCAGGAGATCCATCTAGGCAGAGGGCGGGACAAGCCAGTGCCAGACACCAAAATGGCAGGGCCAGGAAGGTCCAGAGTCAAGACGGCGCCCTGAGGCCTGTTGTTCACAGAGGGGAGGATGGCAATCTGAAGAACCACAGCCTGGGGACATAGGGGCTATGATTTGGTGAGGGGCAGGGGGTGTCAAGAGTGGGGGTTGGAGGCAGCCTGGGGGCCTGCGGACAGCTCCTTGCAGCTGCAGTCCCCTGGGAACCAGGAAGATGGGCTGGGCAGGAAAGGGAGGTGGCCCTAGGCGCTCCAGTCACACACTCAGGGCTTCACAGGGGCCCACTCGGTCCACTGCTTCAGGTCGGTGGCCTCTGGCCCCTCCCAGCTCCAATGACAAGGACAGGAAAGGTGCTGGGCCCAGCCCAACCTGGGTACAGAGGAATGAGGATCAGGATGCCGTGCGGTCCCGGGAAGAGGGCTTCTACCATCTCGTTTTACTTTGCGGGGACTGAGCCTAAAGTGACCAGAAAGAACAAGAGTCAAAGGGGACTCTACCACGCAGGGCCCAAGCACTAGTTTTTACTTAAAAATAGTGTTTCAGTCCCCAGGAGGCTGATGCAATCTGAGCACAGAAGAAGAAGTTTGGGAGAAGTTTATTTTTTTTTCCAGCAACCTTTCTCTCCCTTTCAAGTTTTTTTTTTTTTTTTCTCCCCAGCAACTTTTCTCTCCCTTTCAACAAAAACAGTTTTTCCCCTACAACCGGTATCAGAAAATAGCTTCTGACTAGTTGGGGAGAAACATTCCCAAGCCTGGGAGGAGCAGGCTCCCCTGGGCAGGCCTGGCAGCCCCCGGCAAAGCCTTGAGCAGCGTCCAAAGGTCAGGACCCTGTTGTCTCATCCTCACGGCTGGAAGTGCCACCCACTGGACTGGCTTACCCAGGGTGGGCCACGGAGAAAGGCTGCTGGACGTCAGAGTCTTAGGAAAACCTGGTTGGGGTTGGCCTGACCTCTCTGGGTCAGTTCGCTTACCTGTAAAAGGGGGCGGTGTGACCACTCTGAGGCCCTGTCTCACCCCAAAGTGGTACAGTTCTGCGATTTTGAGTTGGGAAAAGGGAGAGCATACTAGTCCTGCCCACCTTCCAGGGCAGCCTTGGGGATTAAAATGAGCTGATGGGCCGGGTAAGGTGGCTCGTGCCTGTAACCCTAGCACTTTGGGAGGCTGAGGTGGGCAGGTCACTTGAGGCCAGGAATTCAAGACCAGCCTGGGCAACATGGTGAAACCCTGTCTCTACTAAAAATACAAAAAGTTAGCCAGGTGTGGTGGCGCATGTCTGTAAACCCAACTACTCAAGAGGCTGAGGCAGGAGAATCACTTGAACCTGGGAGGTGGAGGGTGCAGTGAGTCGAGATTGCGCCACTGGACTCCAGCCTGGGCAACAGACCAAGACTCTGTCTCAAAAAAAAAAAAAAAATTAAATTAAATTTTTTAAAAAATGAGCTGCTGAAGAAAGGCTTTTGCTTAGTATAAAGTACTGAGCAAACTGACTTTCTTTTTTTGAGACAGAGTCTCGCTCTGTTGCCCACACAGGAGTGCAATGGTGCAATCACAGCTCACTACAACCTCGACCTCCTGGGCTTAGGAGATCCTCCCACCTCAGCCCCATGAGTAGCTGGGACTAATGCCTGGCTAATTAAAACACTTTTTTTTTTTTCTGGTAGAAACAGGGTCTCACTATGTTACCCAGGCTAGTCTGGAACTCCTGGGCTTAAGCAATCCTCCCACCTTGGCCTCCCAAAGTGCTGGAATTACAGGCTTGAGCCATCGCGCCCTGCACAAATGGACATTTCAATGACCGCTCAGGAACGAACCCAACCAGGACCTGGCCCAACCCTTTGCACTTTTGTCAACCCATTTGTAAACAATTTCTGACCCTCTCTAGGCCATTCCTTTGCACGTATCACACGGTGTGATCTCAAAGCATGGAGCAGAATGAGTCTCCACTTTGTCCGCTATGGGATCTTCACCATTATTCATCCCAGGAGAAGCTGAAATTAGTTCATCTTCCCTTATACACAGAGCCACCTGCTCAAGGCCCACCTTCCCAGTCCTGTCCCTGCAGCCACTGAAGGGGGGTTCCCAGAGGAAAGCTGCCTGACCTCAGACAAGCCCAGGTGTAGGACTGCATCCTAGGCACGCACTGAGCCTGGGTGTTCATTCTGATTGCACACAATACAGACAGAGGACCTGCTAAAGAACCCCTCACTGGGGAGAGGCATCAGCTACTTAATTGCACAGGAAAAATCTGTAGCAGCTTTAAATATGAGCTGGATTTGGAGGGAAGAAAGAGAAGTCACCCACAGGCCATGGAGGAGGAGAGGTTCATCAGAAACCAGGAGCCCAGCTCAGAAACCACAATCCCAAAGCGAGAGTTAATAAAGCAGAAATGTATTTATTAGGCACCCTTGTTCCTCACAGAGGAGCAAGATCCAGGCCTGAGCGCCTGAGAAGTCTCTTGAGGTTGCAGGAATCTCCAGAGAAACATAGGCGCTGCCCGGCCACCACCCCGAGAACACTATTTGGCTGGAGTGTGACCGCGGAGGTGACCCTGGCAGGCGGCCAGGGTTGGCTCCTCGACTCCACAAACACTGAGGAGTGGGCGAGGACACCCAGGACACCCACCGGAACACTGGCAGAGAGAGAGGCCCTTCTAGCTCTGGGGCACATGTTGCTGAGCCTGCCAGTGGGAGGAGGAGCCTGGAGAGTCCCTTGCCTGGGGCCAGGTCCTCAGGGCCCTCCCCAAATCCGCCCGCCTCTCCTGGCCACTGCTGACTCAGTCCCACACGTAGGGGTTTCTAAAGACCTGAGAGTTCTTGCCGTCTTTCAGCGGTGTGGCCGCCTGGTGGCTCTGGGCCGAGTACATGTCTTCAGCCCGCAGGGTCGAGTTGGCACTGCCCATCACCTGGCTGTTGGCGGTGGCCCGTGGGAGGATGACGTCGTAAGCTCCTTCGGACTGGAAGGAAGAACAGGCGGTCTCACAGTCGGGGATCGGGAGCCAGGTTCCGCCGGGGCGGATGCACAAACACTCACTTCCTGCAGGGCTGGGCCTGCCAGATCCCCCCCGACTCCCCCCTTGGCTCCTCTGCCCCCTCTGGCTGGGCCCTAGGGACGGCCTGGGACAGCCACACCTGAGCCCCTTATCTTGTCCTGCCTCTGGGCATGGGAACAAGGCCCCTGGTGACCTTCGATGGTGCTGGGGCTTCACAGAGTGGGGTCCTCTTCTCAAGCCCCCTCCCGCTTCTAATTGTTTAGGGAAATGCTAGGGCCAGTGGAGGGTCAGCCACATAGAGCTGCTATTACCTGTCTGGTATAGCTCCCAGGCCCCTTCCTCCAAGAATCTTACCCCGAGTCTACCGCCTGTCACTACCATATCCCCCAGCATCACAGCTGCTGGCTTCTCTGGCCGAGGACATGGCTCTGGGTGTGCCCACACATCTCTCTAGGCATCTAGGCTGGCCGGTCTGATTTAGAGTCTTTTTTTTTTGTAGAGATTGAGGGGGGTCTCACTACCTTGCCAGGGCTGCTCTTGAACCCCTTGCCTCAAGCAATTCTCCCATGTCACTCTCCCAAAGCACTGGGATTAAAGGCCTGAGCTACTGCATCCAGCCCTGATTTGGAGTCTTGAAACCTGAATTCTCTGCCTGGTGCTGGGTCTTGCTCCCATGTGGGTGAGAGACACCAGCTGTGGGGTGAAGAGGGTCCTGAAGTACCTGTTCTGGCTCCCATGCTGGAGGGAAGGTGAATTCCTGGCCCCATCTGTCTTAGCCCTATGGGAAAGAGCTGCTACCAACCAAATCTCTGTAGCTCCCAGGCCCCAAATCAGCCTTCAAGTCAATCAGGCCCAGGAGGCCCTCAGCCCTGTCCACGTGGCCCCTGGAACATCTATGTCCGTGGCCCCAATCCACGGATGAGTATGCACTGGAATCACCTACACTGCTTGATAAGCCTCACCGACTCATAGCCGGACCCTACACAGTGGGCCCCCCGCAGCTGGCAACAACTGGGGCTAGGGGAGGGAGTGCTGAAAGCAGGGCTTGCGGATCTGCGCTGAGTAGTACCCCCATGGTGCCGATGCCCTGAAGGGGTGCTAACAGTCAGCTCCATCCCAGCTCTGGCCCCGTCCCATTTGCACTTTTATTTTTTTTATTTCTTATTTATTTATTTTTTGAGACAGAGTCTCACTGTGTTGTCCAGGCTGGAGTGCAGTGGTACAATCTCGGCTCACAGCAACCTCCGCCTCCCGGGTTCAAGGGATCCTCTGGCCTCAGCTTCCCCAGTAGCTAGGACCACAGGCATATGTCACTATGCCTGGCTAATTTTTGTGTTTTTAGTAGAGATGAGGTTTCGGCATGTTGGCCAGCCTGGTCTCAAACTCCTGACCTCAGGTGATCCACCTGCTCAGCCTCCCAAAGTGCTGGGATTACAGATGTGAACCACTGCACCTGGCCCCCTTTGCACTTTTAGCAGGCTCCCAGGTGAGGCTAATGCTGGTGGTCCGGGTACCATGTTTTGAGAACCGGTCAGATAAAATACCCCTGTTCATCCAGATCATCCCCCAGGAAGCGGACTCCGAAGGTGCTGGGGAGTGAGGCACAACAACAGTGAGGGAAGCTATTCAGGAAAAGCTTCTGTAGCTACCCACTCCCCACCAGAGCTGGTGGCCCACAGCCTCCACTCCTGGTCCTCCGAAAACTCTCCTCCGCCCAGGCTCAGGTTCAGGCTCAGGGAGAGGGGAGGCGCTGGGACTGGAAGTTTCAGCCACACTCGCCTCCCCCTGCCCTGCGGCTCTCACAGAGAGGGCGGGGAGGGGGATGAGAACGCCACCCGGCTGACCTCCTTGCTTCCTGTTCCCAGTGTCCTGCCAAGACGGGTCACTGACCTCTCCCCACAGCCTCTGCCAGCCGGGAGGAGGAACACATACAGGAGCGAGTAGAATCCAACCCACTGTCTTCCTGCTCCCATCCCCTCCCCTGGCTAATGGAGCATCTAGTTTCCAGAACCCAGGGGAGGTGTAAGGTCGAGACTTGCTCCCCGCCGGAGCGGGAGGGGAGTCATGGGCCCCCTTGGCACAGCTGTGGTTGAGAAGGAAACACCTATCCAGACCTGCAACATTTGGACCCTGGTCCATTTTGGAAACACCTGGCTGAGACCCTCCTTTGTCCCTCCACAGGCTCTCCAGGGTAAAGCTGGCAGCTCCCACCAGGGAGAGGCTACCCAGCACTCCCTGTAAGCATCCTGACAGAGCCTGTGTGCAATGCCCCAGTGACACAGGGCGGGTCCCACTGCAGTGCAGCTGGAGGTGGTGGGTACGCTGACTCCAGGACAAGGAATTTAAGAACTGGGGCTCTGGATTCCCCAGGTAGAAGCACCAGATGGAGAAGCTTGCCTTCCCCCTACCATCTCCACCCAACCCAGCTCTGGCCACATGGCCCTCTCCCGCTGGCCTGCTGAGACTGGTGTCTGCAGCCCAGCTGCATCACGGGGACCTGGGGAACCCACTTACTGGGACTTTGTGCATCAGGGCCATCTCGGTGGGCTGGTACACACTGGTCAGCAGCTGCCCGTTGTACCCGCTGTATGGTGACACCGGCCTCTTAGCTGCAAGGAAAAGCAGGAACAGTTTGAAGATTCCAGGGCTCTCAGCTCCCTTCCCCACCTCCCACAAGCCAAGCAAGGCTCTCTGGGGGCAGGGAAGAGGTACAGGGGGCAGGCCAACCCTGGCATAGTCTCTAACCCAGGAGTGGCCAAGTTGGGGATGAGGTTGTGAACACGGGGGCCCCCTCCCAAACCTAGCACCCCTTTGTACAGATGCATGGGAGTGAACAACACTGCTGGGTTTCCCTGCACTGTAGACCCCCCCGCCCCTGACCCAACACCTGAGAAAATGCTCTGTCAGCAACCTCCACATCCCCATCCGCCCTCCAGGGCCAGGGGCCAAGAGGACACATGGACCTTCGGCCACCTTCCAAGATGGCCAGCCTCCAGCTCTGCCTGTCACCACGGGCCAGCTGCCAGGCGCAGGGGCAAATACATCTGAGACCCCACGGCCTAAGCCTCTTCATGTCTTCCCAGGGCCGACCTGGGAGCCCCTTCCCCACTACACCAACCCGGAGCCTGGCCAGGGAGCCTTAACACACGTCCCATCCTATAGCCCCCTGGCAAAATTCCAGAACTATTTTTAGCTCCAGGGATACTTCCCTGTGCCTTTGGGGTGTTGGTTTCCCGATGTGCTCCGCCCTGCTGGGCACTCCCAGGGTGTTTGAGGAGGGCTGCTGACCCACCCCGGGGCCTCGGAGCAGGCCCTGCTGTGAGGACAGCACAGCGGATGTCTGGCTCCAGCAAGGCTGACGGTCCCGCAGCTCTGAGGGACCGCAACCTATATAGGGTTTCTTAAGTGCTGAGGCTGGGCTCACTCTATTGATTTTTCCATTTAGAAAAAAAAAAAAAAAATAGGAAATAAAAACTCAGCCCTAAGGTTGAGAACCATTTGGCCCTGACAGGCATTCGGTGTGGGGGCGGGGCCTGAGGCTCCTCCCAGCACTTGTCCATAAGCCCCGCCTCTCCGGAGGGTTTTGCCCATTCCGCCCCCCCATGCACACTGTGCGTGTGACAGGGACCACCTAGGGCTGCGGCCAGCACCTCAGCCCAGGTGGGCAGATCAAAGATCAAGTGCCCGGCAGGACAACGGTCATTTCTTTCCCCAAAGCAGGGATTATGAGGATTTCAGAGTTTGTAGAAGAGAAAGGAATGTCTCTAATTCTGGAACTTCCACTGCCTGACTCTGACCTCCCGGCAGAGACCCCAGAGCCGGTGCTTGTTAACCGGGCAGTTAAGAAAGTCTGAAGCCCCTAGGCCTCCACATCAGCACAGTTTGGGGACAGGGTCAGGCCTTTGAGATGGTACCCCCAGATTTCCAGGTCATTTTCAGATGAGGGGCTGCAGCCAGCAGGTTGAGGAAGAGCAGGTGGGAAGCGCACAACGGGCCACATAGGTAAGGGGATTAGCACAGGGGCTGGCACAGAGCGGGTGCTGAGGAAATGCTAGTGGGCTGCACAGCTAACAAGGGCGCTGCTGAGACCACTACGCGGCACCCCAAGTACTTTTATTAAAAAGAGAAAAAGGCCAGGTGCAGTGGCTCACACCTGTAATCCCAGCGCTTTGGGAGGCCGAGGCAGACGGATCACTTGAGGTGAGGAGTTCGAGACTAGCCTGGCTAACATAGTGAAACCCCGTCTCTACTAAAAATACAAAAATGAGCCGGGTGTGGTGGTACACGCCTGTAATCCCAGCTACTTGGGAGGCTGAGGCAGGAGAATCTCTTGAGCCTGGGAGGCGGAGGTTGCAGTGAGCTAAGATCGTGCCACCGCACTCTAGCCTGGGTGACAGAGCAAGACTCCGTCTCAAAAAATAAAAATAAAAATGAAAAGAGAAAAAAAATTATCTGAAAAATACTTCCTTTTAAAGAAAACTAAGGTGATTATGGATACATATATAATAGAAAAACAAGTTCTGGAAAGATGGTATTAGTAAAATATGTAAAATAATAGTCACGCACACACAGCAAATAGCTAATTCTTCAAGAGTGCTTTTCATGGGCCGGGCACTAAGTAATTTTTTTTTTTCTTTGAGATCATCCAGGCTGGTATGTGGTGGTGCAATCACGGCTCACTGAAGCCTCAACCTCCTGGGCTCAGGCAATCCTCCTGCCTCAGCCTCCTGAGGACCTGGGACCACAGGAGTACACCACCACACCTGGCTAATTTTTAAAATTATCTGCAGAGACGGGCTCTCACTATGTCCAGGCTGGTCTCAAACTCCTGGGCTCAAGCTCCACTCACCTCAGCCTCCTAAAGTGCTGGGATTACAGGCATGAGCCACAGCACCCAGCCGGCACTAATGAATTTAATCTTTACAAGAACCCTATGAAATAGACACTGTCATTATCCCCATTTTACAAATGGAGAAATGGAGGCACATAGATATTATATCAGTCAATAGCGCTTACTTCGGGGGATGGAACAGGATGGGATGGGTAGGCCTGCGGAGGCAGCTGGGGAAATTTTCATTTTATCTGTAATGTTGGAAATTTTAAGGTGAGAATATATGCATGAATTATATGAATATAGAAAAAAAATCATTTTTTTTTTTTTTTTTTTTTTTGAGATGGAGTCTCACTCTGTCACCCAGGCTGGAGTGTAGTGGCTTGATTTTGGCTCACTGCAACCTCCACCTCCTGGGTTCAAGTGATTCTCCTGCCTCAGCCTCCCAAGTAGCTGAGATTACAGGCATGCGCCAGCACACCCAGCTAATTTTTTTGGATTTTTAGTAGAGATGGGGTTTCACCATATGGGTCAGGCTGGTCTCGAACTCCTGACCTCAAGTGAGCCCCCTGCCTTGGCTTCCCAAAGTGCTAGGATTACAAGCATCATCTGCCATGCCCAGCTGAAAAAAAAAATCTTTAAATTAAATGGAATTTAGAGACACGTAGGCAGAAAACTACAGAAAACCTCAAAAACTTTCCATTTTGCTCAAGAGACCGGATCCCTGTCCTGTAGTAAAAGACATAGGATGGAGAAAGGGGCCACTGGGGGCATCCACAGAGACCCACCTGCAGCCGGCTCATCCATGGAAAAGGCCTTGTTCTCCACAAACATGCTCTGACCCTTCTGCTCTTTCAGGATGGTCTCATAGCCCACGCCCCGGGTGGGGTACATGTCCCCCTGGTAGCTTTGCTCTGGGCTGGCCTTGGTCACCTGAGAGACCTCGGGGATGACGTAGAAGAGGACAAAGGCCCAGGCATTGGCGGCAAGGGCGATGGCCAGTGTGGGGTCATCCCAGGTAGGGCTGTTGTGCTGCTCGTTGCCGTAGGTATACATGACGATCCACACCACCCATATGGCAATGGAGGTGGCCGTGGTGAGCAGCACGAAGACCCCATGCTTACGCCAGCGCTTGAAGTGGCCACACAGGGCAGGCCAGGCCCCCAGGAAGGCACCCAGCAGCAGCAACATAACGTAGATGAGCGCCATGACAAAGTCCATGTTGGCGATGGCGCAGGGGGAGGCCACGGCCCAGCGGGCACTGCTGTTGCCCTGAGGGCCGCCGTCGCCACTGCCCCGAACCAGTGTGATTATCAGCCACTCTGTATTGATGATGACCTCCACCAGGGTCAGCAGCAGAGCCACAGTGAAGATCACCCAGCCCCGGGGCCCATGGTTCTTCCGGGTCAGGAAGTTGAGGGCGAAGACGTGAGCCGCCAGACAGGAGAAGCAGATGGCGAACAGAACCCCAAAGAGGAAGCGCCGAGAGGCACAGGTGGAGAAGTCAGGCTTCACCACGCAGGCAAACACGAGGCAGAAGAGGCCCAGAGTCCCCAGAAGGAAGAACACCTGGGTCCCCAGCAGGCTGCGTTTCTTGGTGTCCTGCACAAAGGGGAGGCTGGCCACCAGGATGATGGTGAGCACAAACGTGGTGACGACGCCCGCCCCAGCCACAGCCTCTAGGACGATGCCCCACGCCCCAGAGCGGTCACACAGATTGTAGTATAGGGGGTTGAGGCCTTGGCTGCAGCCGGGTGGGACATGGCTCTGGGCCCAGGCCCCTGGGAACAGGAAGAGAGGCAGTCCCAGGCACATCACCAAGGCTTTGTGGATGGCCATCCTGGCTCCCAGGCCAGGCTCTGGTTGGGTCCCTAGAGACAGAAGGAAAAGGAACAAAATTAGTCCTCCAAAGTCAGACTCCAATATACATGTTGCTGCTTTCCCCACCCCAAACCCAGGCAGACAGTGCCGGCTGACCATAAGGCTCTCTGGACCTCAGAATCCTTCTTCACACAGAACTCCTGAGAGCCATTTCAACTGGCCAGAGAGGCAAATGAGATGAAGCCCATTTTTCAGCCCTATTCCTAGCCATGGCAAAGGAAAAACCTGTCACTGAATTTTCAGTTCCCTCCCTTCCGCCAACCATAACCTGGGTTCAGATATTCCCTGAGCTCTGGTGGCTAGGGTGGAAGATGAAGGGGCTTTGTGAACAAGTCAAGACTAAGCATACCACTCACCCAGCACTTCCTCTCCGCCCTGGGACTTCCAGGCTTCAGGAGGTCAGCTGCTATGTCCCTAAACTCCATTCCTGTAAGGCCTAAATCCATAGCCAGTCAGCTATGCATGCATTCATTTACTCACTCATTCATTCATTCATTCATTCATTCATTCATTCATTCAGTAAGCCCTTAACAAGCACCTGCATCAGGCATAACCGACAGCCAGGAAAAATGAAGAAATAGCCGGGCGCGGTGGCTCAAGCCTGTAATCCCAGCACTTTGGGAGGCCGAGACGGGTGGATCACAAGGTCAGGAGATCGAGACCATCCTGGCTAACCCGGTGAAACCCCGTCTCTACTAAAAAATACAAAAAACTAGCCGGGCGCGGTGGCGAGCACCTGTAGTCCCAGCTACTCGGGAGGCTGAGGCAGGAGAATGGCGTGAACCCGGGAGGCGGAGTTTGCAGTGAGCTGAGATCCGGCCACTGCACTCCAGCCTGGGCGACAGAGCGAGACTCCGCCTCAAAAAAAAAAAAAAAAAAAAAAAGAAAAATGAAGAAATAGTCATTTTCCCACTTTTAGTGCCAAGTCTCCACTTCAGAATCCTACATTTTTTGCCTAACTCAGAAGCGGAAGTCAAGGATAAAATAAACAAAGTCCCCAGCTAAGGAGTTAATGACTTAATGCCAAAATTTTCCTTCAGAGCGTTAACATTTTAAAAGCAAGAACCAGGCAAGGGCAATGCAAAACCCAAAGGAATTAATCTTTAATAGAAGACTTTAAGATGTGGTAGCAGCCGGGCGCGGTGGCTCACGCCTATAATCCCAGCACTTTAGGAGGCCGAGGCGCGCGGATTACGAGGTCAGGAGATCGAGACCATCCTGGCTAACACAGTGAAATCTCGTCTCTACTAAAGAATACAAAAAATTAGCTGGGCGTAGTGGCAAGCACCTATAGTCCCAGCTACTCCGGAGGCTGAGGCAGGAGAATGGCATGAATCCAGGAGGCAGAGGTTGCAGTGAGCCAAGATTGTGCCACTGCACTCCAGCCTGGGCGACAGAGCAAGACTCTGTCTCCAAAAAAAAAAAAAAAAAAAAAAAGACATCGTAGCTAGAAGGCAAGAAAGTTAGCTTTTATTAACACCAGCAAGGTAATTTTCATTCCATCTACTCACTGCCACTCTACCAAATGCCACAGATCTGTGTCAGAGAAGAACACCAAACCCCTGCTCCCAATACCGATTGGATTTTCCCATGTGAAGTGGAGGTAATGGATTTAACCGGTTAAGAGACATTAAAGACCAAATCAATGAGTTTTTTCCAATCAAAAGTTTTAAATGTAGTTGCAGGAACCTAACACTGAAAATTTAAATGCTGCTGAGCACGGTGCTTCATGCCTATAATCCCAGAACTTTGGGAGGTCAAAGTGAACAGATTGCTTGAGTTCAGGAGTTTGAGACCAGTCTGGGCAACATGGTGAAACCCCGTCTCTATAAAAAATACAAAAATTAGCAGCCGGGCGCAGTGGCTCATGCCTGTAATCCCAGCACTTTGGGAGGCCAAGATGGGTGGATCATATGAGGTCAGGAGGTCGAGACCAGCATGGCCAAAATGGTGAAACCCCGTCTCTACTAAAAATACAAAAATTAAATGGGCGTGGAGGTGCACGCCTATAATACCAGCTATTCAGGAGGCTAAGGCAGGAGAATCACTTGAGCCCGGGAGGTGGAAGTTGCAGTGAGCCAAGATCGTGCCATTGCACTCCAACCTGGTCAATAGAGTGAGACTCCATATAAAAACAAAAGAAAACAAAACAAAACATATATATACATATATATATATATGAATTAGCAGGGTGTGGTGGCATGCGCCTGTAGTCCAAGCTACTTGGGAGGCTGAGATCAGAGGATCATCTGAGCCCAGGGGATCGAGGTTGCAATGAGCTGTGATTACACCACTGCACTGCAGCCTGGGCAACAGAGCAAGACTGTTTCCAAGAAAAGAAAGAAAACTAAAAAAAAAAAAAAGAAAAAGAGAGAAATCTTAAATGCTTTAAGAAGCAGGTTATACATTTCAAAATTCTATGAATGCAGGTAGTCCACATTTAAGTCACCCCGTGTTGAAATAACTAGTTGTAACCCCGCTTCATCAGGAACTCTCTGGGAAAACGGCAACCAAGCTTTCCTGGTCTGACAGTGACCACTAGTGGCTGGTAGGGTAATGGCATTATCTAACTGTATTCTGTAAGGCTGCTACCCTTCTTCCTTTCTTAGGGGGATTGTGAGGTTGTTTATACACAGTTTACCTCCTTACTGTTTTCTACCATTCCTGGCTACTTAATTTCTAATAGGCAAACAAAAGCCCTAAATCCCACAGTTGATAGAAATTGTCCCTCTTTTCAGCACAGAAGCAAAAAAAAAAAAAAAAAAAAAAAAAAAATTCTGTCCATAACTGATATGTGAAAGAACACTTACTAAATCAGGGGCAATGAAACTCATAAAATTCAGTGAAATGGACACAATAAAGAGGATCCATTGTCAAAGTCCCTTCAAATAGTCTGCAGGCCACTTGAAAATATTTAGGTCGTCTTAGCCATCTCAGCTACCTCATCTTTCAATTAAGCTTACTTAAGATTAACTCTTAAAATTAATCATCTCATGCAAATATACTGTTGTTTTCCTAAATAACTGGCATTGTAACGGCTAGTTTCTCTTCACTTCTAATGCAGGACTTAAATAAGCTTCTGTAGGGGACTTTGGAAATCAATAAAGCACCAACTGTATTTTATTTACAAGTGATGGAAAGAGGAAAGAGGAGTAAGAGAGGGCTAAGAGGTAAGGAGTAGGCCGGGCGCGGTGGCTCACACCTGTAATCCCAGGACTCTTGGCGGACAGATCACGAGGTCAGGAGTTCCAGACCAGCCTGACCAACATGCTGAAACCTCGTCTCTACTGAAAATATAAAAATTATCCAGGCGTGGTGGTGCATGCCTGTAATCCCAGCTACTTAGGAGGCTGAGGCAGAAGAATCACTTGAACCCGGGAGGCAGAAGATTGCAGAGAGCCGAGATTACGCACCTGCACTAAGCCTGGGCGACAGAGCGAGACTCTGTCTCAAAAATACAAAACAACAACAACAAAAAAGCTAAGGAGTAATATGGAGCCACTCCCGGGACATAATTTATGGATAACAACATTCTGTGGGGTCCTAAATGTTCAACTTCATCTTGGGGTCCACAGCCAATCAGCCAGAACTTGGGCTTGACGGTGGACATAGGGAAGAGAGCCCTCAGAACTGCCACTTAGCCTCCAGGCACCTGTACTTTCAAGGGCTTTTCACCCCACCTCCCTCGGCCAGCGCCCAGTTTAGAGCAGGCAATTACTCCAAATCAGCAAATATTGACTGTGTGCCTGGGAAGGAAAGGCCCTGTTGTTCCCAGAGCTGTGGAAAATACAAACATGAACATAATCCCTGACTTGATGGCATTTAAAATCTATCAGGAGAGATAAGGTAGGTACTCACAAAAATTACACAAGGAAGAATATGATTAAGGGCCACACAATGGAATTTACCTGTAGGAGAGAGACAGGGGCTACAGGAACACAGAAGAGAAATAGGCAGAGCAGAGAAAGACTGTTCCACAGAGTTTTACTCAGAACCTAATAAAAAACATACCAGGTCCCAGACACCGCCAAGAGACAGGGACACCCAGAAGCTAAGCCCTGAAGAATGTTGAGGAACGGCTGAGCAGGTGAAGGGAACAAGGAGAGGAACAAGGCAGAAAAGATGGTGTGAATCAAAGCCCTTTGAGCCCAAGTCCAGAGCAAGTGAAAAAAGAATTCAGTTTGCTAAGTATCAGCTGAGTTTGCAAAGGGAGGCTGCAGCTGCTGGCTGACACATTGGAAATGCTACGGGGTGGGGCTGGGGGCATTATTCTAAAGGCTGGGGGCATTATTCTAAAGGTAACAGCCAGCCACTGAAGGCTGTTTTCAGCATGATGGGGGCATAGCCAGGGTTGTACTTTTAATAAATGAGTCTGGGAAAAATGCACAGGCAATCGGTTTGTTGGGGCGGGGGGCACATTCATCCCAGTTTAAAGGTCAAGGCCAAAGGTAAAGCCATAATGGCCTGCTCTGAGAGATAGTTTCCAAAAAACAATCGAAGGACTGGTTGGTGGGCAGAGGTGGGGGAAAAGGATGCTAAAGCCCACACTAAGTTCAAATCTAACAGGCACGTCATTACAGAAAACCAAGCCAGGGACCAATGCCACTCATTCTTCTTGATCCATCTTGCCCTAGAAATACTTGCGTGTACCCTGCCAGCTCCCAGAAGCCCACAGGCACTTGGGCCAGGGTCAGGTAAGCATCACAGCTCTCTGTCCCCAAGCCCCCACCTCCCATTTCCCCCTGAATTTGTGGTTGGTGACCAGCAACTTCCTTCTGCACCTGACCCTTCAAGTCTTGCTTCTCCTGCCAACCCCCTCAATATAGAAACTTCCAGGGAATGAGAGAGGAACCTGTATCTGCCCCTTACCACATCCGGGTACCATGCTGCTGCCCAGCAGCCAGGCTGCTGCTTTTAGGAAGTTGCTGAGCAACTTAATAGCCTCAGAGGAAACAACCTGGTCCCATCCTGAAAGACCTTATTTCTCTGGTACCCCCAGAAATGGAAGAGCAGGTGGGAAGACAGAAATGCATGGACTCAGGTAAGAAAGCTGGGCCTTCTGGGCGTGGCTCTCATCTACTGCCTAGGACAAGGACCCTCAGAGAGTTAAGAGAAGCTCAGAAGAGCACAGCTCCAGCCCTCTGATGCCGGGAGTGCACATTCAGCCACTGCCACCTTTTTTTTTTTTTTTTTTTTTTTTTTTTAGACAAAGTTTCACTTTTGTCGCCTGGACTGGAGTGCGATGGTGGTGATCTCGGCTCACTGCAACCTCCAACTGCCAAATTCAAGCAATTCCTCATCCTCAGCCTCCCAAGTAGCTGGGATTACAGGCGCCTGCCACCACACCTGGCTAATTTTTTGTATTTTTAATAAAGACAGGGTTTCACTATGTTGGCCAGGCTGGTCTCGAACTCCCGACCTAAGGTGATGTGCCTACTTCAGCCTCTCAAAGTGGTGGGATTACAGGTGTGAGCCACCGTGCCCGGCCCAATGCCACTTTTAAGATGGTGGCTAAGGGACTGACAAGATGGACTCAGTTCTGGTCAGAGGCTTTTCCTCAGGACCCTGGAGGAACCTTCTGCTTCCTGTAGGTCCCTAGATCCCTCACTAAGACTGAGCCTCTGATCCCTGAACATTCAAATCATATCCGTGTTTCCCTTCCAGGGCTGGAAGGTCTTTGAAGCTGGTGAACAAGAATTCTAGAATCCACTGTCACAGCGGGTGCTGTGCCTGAACACATTGGGCATTTGGAAGTCACCTCTGGATGGTCTCAGGTGCATTGATCCGTACCCAGGGCTGCCCCCTCCACTTTGGAGTTGCATCTTCTGCTTAAAGATTCTCAGAGGGTACAATGAGTGGGGTAGGAGGGGAACCTCCTTCTGCCCTGAGTCTCCCCCATCCCACAGCTGAAGCCCAGCCCCAGCCTCAGATTATTTTCTGGACAAAAGGGCCTTTTGCTTCACTTCCCTGGAATCAGTTGTACAAATATTTTTAATCGCCTCTGAAATCGGCCTTTCCCCAGGCTCAGCCACCCGGCCCCCAGCTCTCCTCTGAATCAGTCCAGTCCAGTTGCTGAATCTCCCTCCTCCCTCCTTCTCTCTGCAGGGGGCGCAGAGGCCTGGTGGGCTCAGAGGCTGAGGCCCAAGCAGCCCTGACTGGTTTCCCCCAGCAACAAGTGGCTTCATCCAGCAACAGGGGAGACAACCAGACCTTCTCACTTCTCCACAGCAAAACCCCCTTCCTGGCTCCAGCATCATCCACACACAAGCCTGAGACCCCCTCCACTCACCAGGGCAAAGGATATCACCCTGCAAAGAGAGCTCCACCATGTCACAGGGCCAACCAAGCTCAACACTGACCCATGGCCAATGGCTGTCTTCAAGGGTGCTGTGACCAGGGCACTCTCCAGGGAGGTTCACCTAGGTATACCACAGAGCACCTGCCTTCCTCCCATCCCACACACTATACAGCATATCGGGAAAGAGGATGGCCTCACTGACAGCCTTCCTACCTCCATTTCCATCCCCCTCTCCCAGTCCCTGGTTAGGTCCCATTGTCTCACCCCTCTGTCCAGGGCGCTCAGGCGTTTACCCCATCAATAAGAAGGCGCACAGGAGAAGCCTGTGCCTGGAAGGAGTGGGCTCAGTGTGTAGGTTGGTGGGCGGGGGGGAGGGTAGGGGTTCCTCGAACCTCAGCCTAGACACCCCACCTCTACCTCCCCTATCCCTGCCTCGAACCAAGACCAGGCATTTGGGCCAAAATGCCCTGAGCACTCTGAGACTTGGAAATCGTCAAGGGTCTGCTCTGGAATGTCACTCTGGAATGCGCCCCGGCCCCCAAGGCACTCCCTCCCCCAGTCACCGTTGAAGGCACGGGTGGGGGGCCGGAGCTCCAGGAGCACAAAACCCTACTTCAACACAGTCTCCTCCCCTGGACTTTAGGATCTTGATCGTGGAGTCTGTAAGTGATTGGGTCTTCCAGGGTGTAATACTGTGGGCCTGAGGATGGAGGTGCAAAGGACGCTGGAAAAGCCAGCCGGGAGTGGGGGTTCGGGATCTAGGGGCCAGGCTGCCAGAAGGAGAGGCGTTTTGATAGTCTGAATTTCCAAACTTTCCTCAGGGAGATTCTGAGCCCTCTCGTCCCTCCTTGGGTCGACGGTACTGGGGTCTACACCTGCGCTCCCCGGATGGCTGGAATGGGGAGCAAGGCAACCAGTCTCTCTCTCCCATTTTTAGGGCTACAGAAACCTGCCCTCCCCATCCACAGTAGCAGGCGGCGGAGAGGACGCCGACCCACAAGAGAGGGTGACCGCGGACTCCCACCGAGAGGCAGGCGGTGGAGGGGCTCCCATTGGAGACCCCGATCGTGGAGTCCTTTCCCCTCCCTCCAGCCTGAGCCGCAGCGCCGGGCTCCCCCATCTCCCATCCCCAGCCCCCAGCCTGCTCGGGTCTGAAAACTTTCAGCGACCGAGCGGAGTTGGTGCGGCGTCCCCCGCCCGCAGGATGTCCCAGCCCCCGCCTCTGCCCTCGCCCACTCCCCGCCGGCCCGACCCGACTCTTCCGGACGGCGGAGGCGGAGGGCGGAGCGGGAAGGCAGCAGCCCTTACCTGGGACTCGCCGCGGGCCCCGCTCCCGCACAGCGTTTGGGGCCAACTCCAGCCCCAGGCGGGCGGCGGGCGGGGGTGGGAGGGATTCGGCGCGGGGCGCTGGGCCAGGCCTGGTCCTGGCTGGGATGGCGGGACCCGGGCCGGGACGCAGGGCCTGCCTCTCCCCGGGACCGAGGCTGAGCCGGGCGCGCTGGGTCGCTCGCTCTCGCGCGGGCCTGTCCCCAGGCAGGACTCCTTGCTGTCGGCGAGGGTGGGCTGGCGCCTGCATCACCGTTACATCACCTCCATTCAGGGAGCTTATCGGGCGCCCGTCGCGCTCCAGGTACGTGCGCTCTGTTTACACAGGAACAAAGCCTGCCTGGGCCTCCCCGCCCCGACTCACCTCCAGGCTGGGCCGACTCGCACTTTCCGGCTTGGGAGGGAGATGGGAGTTTCTGGCCCTGCCGGCGTGTGGTTTGTTGCTGTTGACTGCCACGCCCCCGCACGCGGGCGCGCGCACACTCACGCGCACTCACTTTCTGGGTTCGGCCTTCTCCGGGGCAAGCGGTGTGGGGGTGCAGCCCTGCGCACCCCCCACCGCGTCTCCCAGAGAGCGCGCGTACCGACACGCGTGGGGCTACCTTGACGCGTCTCCGTGGGGGACACCTAGCCTTTGTCACCTTCATCCTGGCCCTCCCGTGAGACACACTTAGGGCACAGTTCGCTGGGAGCGGGCCGGAGCGAGGCGCACACTCAAGACACAGAGTCTGTCTTTTTGTCACGCCTTCTGCGTCCCCTCCCCTCCCCAGCTTGCACACGTGGACACACCGAGGTTCGCCTTTTGCACGCGCGGTCCTTCTCTGGGACCCCCCCACCGGTCACAAAGCGTACGTGGGATCGTTACCAAGTGCTCCTCTCACGCGTGGGCCGAGTCCAGAGCCACTCCGCACCGTGGGCAAAGGTCACCCTGGGCCCGACTATCCCGCGCCCGGATTTCCTGCGACTGTTCCAGGTTCTGCCCAATTCGGAGCGCGCGCTCCCCTCCCAGCGTCCCCGTTCCCTGCTCCGACTTGTCCTAATTAGCCTTCACGGTTTTGTTCCCCGAGGTACAGTGTTCAGCGCGGCCCCCTCGGTCTCTGCGCTCCGGGACACGTCGGCTCTGACTCCGAGTCCGTCCCCTCCAGCAGCCGGGGGACCTTTCCAAGAGGTCAGGTTCCCACCAGCCCCACCCCCACTCCCTGTACCGGGGTGGATCTGTGGGTTGCCACCCTTTCCCCTCCGGCCCCAGGAATCTGCTGAAGGTGGACCGCAGAAATTGGGAAGCGAATCCAGGCTGGGACTTCTCCAGTCCGGTAAACAAGAGGAGATTTTCCGGCCGCCTTCCCCCGGGGCTGCTGGCCTCGCGGCGGGTGGGGTGCGCCGTCCCAGGGACCGGCCGCGAGGCCTAGTTAGCCCGCGCCAGAGGCCCGTAGGGGCCGAGGCGCACGGAGGAGGGAGAGGTTGTTAGGTCTGGTCGGGGCCCTGGGGACGCGGAGGGAGGGCAGGGCGCCGAGTCTCGGGGTGCCTGTTCTCATGACGCCGAGTTGCCTGGGGGATCGCCAGCGGCGCGCCGGTCGGAGCCAGCTGGTGGCGGGGCAGGCGGGGCGGGCGGCCGGTGTTTGCTCAACCCCGAGCGCCCGCGAGGGGGAGGGGAGGTAGCTGGTCACGGGCTAGGGGGTAGCAAGGTGGAGGAGCGGGGGCAGGGAAAAGGGTGGGTATCTCCCGGGCTGCTTGTTTGCGTGCCTGCCCCGGTGTAAGACAACTGGGAGCCTAAACTCTATGAATCACCCGGAGTTGCTGGAGCGATAAACCTCAGGCTGGTTCCTCCCCTCGCACACCGGCTTCTCTGACTCTAGCAGGGAATGTTTGCTTAGCGGCTGGAGCTGGCGGAGAGGCCCTGGTTCTCTAGAACCCTGTATCCCTTCCTGGCCTTGCCTTTGGGGGCTGGTCTGCGGTGGCGGAGACTGAATTGTTTCACGTCTCTTCAAGAAGAGGGGCGCAGTGCTGCTGCTGATTTGTTCCTCACTCTTGGACTCCCTCTCGTAGCTCCACCCCCCACCCTAAGATTCAGAGGCCCCCATGCCAGGGAGGCAAACGCTTGTGAGGGTCCAAGCAGTTGGGTGCCCACGCTAGAAAGGCAAACGGCGGGTCAGACCTAAGCGAGGGGCATCCATGACTCTGGGCTGGGACTAGTTCTCATGAACCAGGCGACCAGTGCTGAACACAGTGTGCTGGGAGGGGCTGCTCATTAGCATATGTGAAAAGCCAGATAAGAGCTAGAGGAAGGTGGAAAGGAAATAGTCTCCGAGACTGCTTGTGACCTTAAGAAGCCAAAGATGAATTGTGCATCTGGCAGGTGTGTTTCAATTTATTTTCAAGCATCGGGACTCTCTTTTCCCTACCTAGATTCTCCAAAAAGGCAACTCTTGGCCCCTCCCTCCCCACTCAGGCAGGGAAAAGGCTGGGGCATGTGAGGCCTGGGCACCCCAGCAGCGGAGCCCTGCCTACCGCCAGCCCTGCATGGTAGATGGCGGTGGAAATGTAGGCAGGTTTCCTGAGAGCTGTTTGCTCTTTTTGTGTTCACTCCATCTCACTTCTGGGGCAGGATCTGCCTTTAAAGGACAAAGCAAGTCTTTTGGGGCGGATGACATGGGCTTCAGCCTTCAGGGTCCCTGTTGGCCTCTGCTCTAATCCCACGGGCCTGTGCTGGTCCAGAGTGGGGAGGCAAGAGTTGGAGAAGGCATGAGACCCCTCCACCATGAGTCAGACCCTGGTGGGGGCTGTGGACACAGCAAGCCTGTGATGCTAGAAGGAAAGTTTCGTGGGAGGTGGCTTTGCTTTCCGAGAAACTCCAGCCACAGGGTCCTCTGTGCCCCCAAATGTCCTTCGCCTTAATTTAATACCCCAGTAGGTGTAGAACCCATTGCGAACTCCGTTTTCACCAAAAAACTACACTCCGAGAAGTGTTCAAAGAGTGCTACTGTTCAAAGAGATCTCGGGGCCCAGCACAGTGACTCACGCCTGTAAACCCAGCATTTTGGGAGTCCTGGGTGGGAGGATCGCTTGAGCCCAGGAGTTGGAGACCAGCCTGGGCAACAAAGACTTCATCTCTATTGAAACAAACAAACAAAAAAGAAAATGATATGGGGTCTCACTGTGTTGCTCAGGCTGGTCTCGAAATCTTGAGCTCAAGCGATCTTTCTGCCTCGGCCTCCCAAAGTGCTGGGATTACAGGTATGAGCCACTGTGCTCAGCCTATTTAATTTTTTTTTTTTTTAATATATGAAATAAAAAGGAAGAAAAAGATTCTGGATTGCGGAGAAGCATGTCTGTGTCCACCACCCAACTACCCCCACCCCCACCTGAGTTGGGTTCCTACTGGCAGAGTGAGAAACCACCTTTGTTCATTGGAAAGCTTCCTTCAGAGATGTCTGAGGTCTTGACAAGGCCCAGGGGTGAGAACACCTGTGCCACCTGCCGGCTGTGTGACTTGGGTAAGTGGTCTTATCTCTCTGAGCCTTGCTTTCCTCAACTGTAAAACTGGATGATATCACCCCCAGAATGAAGCTGTGTCTGGAATGTTCCTCACACAAGCCTGGTGCTCACAGGGAGCCAGCGATCAGCCTCCGCTTTCCTGGTATGATTGTCATTCCCTCTAAGCCTTGACAGGTCTACCAGTTTTTATTTATAATTTAAATTTAAATTAATTAATTAATTATTTTTGAAACAGGATCTCACTCTGTCACCCCGGCTGGAGTTCAGTGGTGCGATCTCGGCTCAGGGCAGCCTCAACTTCCCAGGCCCAAGTAACCCTCCTGCCTCAGCCTCTCGAGTAGCTGGGACTATAGGAGTGCATCGTCATGCATGGCTAATTTTTGTATTTTTTGTAGAGATGGGGTCTCACTGTGTTGCCCAGGCTGGTCTGGAACTCCTGGGCTCAAGCAATCCTCCCTCCCTCACCTCCCAAAGTGCTGGGATTACAGGCATGAGCCACCGCTCCTGGCCTAATGGTTTTTGACTCCAGCTCTTGCAGAAGCTGGCATTCTTTCTGTTCTGTTTCACCATGATTGGAATAGCTTTGCCATGCCATGCTCTGAGGCTTCACCTGTGATGTTCCTTCCACCTCGAACATTTTATGCCTCTCACCCTCCTTTTTCTGTGTGAATAAAAAGTTTTTACAAATCTCCCCTGCCCCAAAGCTTAGCTCCAGTGTTCCTTCCTTTGCGAGGCAATCCACACCTTCCCACGAAAGACCCATTGTGAGTTGCCCTTTTTACCCACAGCCTGTTACGCATTCATTTATTTATCATTTATCCTAGTGTATCATAATTAGCCTTCTAAATTGGTTTTTTCTCCAATTACACTGTGCCCTTCTAGAGAGCCAGGGACACGTCTCACTCATCTTGTTTTCCCTGGCATCTGGCACTCAGACGGGTGTGGGTAAATGTTTTCAGTAAATGCTTATAGAATGTCCGTTATTCTGTGGCTGGCCGCGGCTGATCTTCCCCTCACACCAGCAGCCTTGCAAACAGCACCACCCCTACCCTGCCTCCCGTACCCCACTTTCTGGGAAGCAGGCAAGCCCCAGTGCCTACTGGAGAAGTCGCCTCCCCTGGGGCTGCAATGCCCTGCATCAGAGGTGAGGGTAGGAGGCTCTGGCACCCCGGCTTGGGGCATGGAGGGGCCTATCCAGAGAGAGCCAAAGGTCAGTTGTGCTGTTTCGAGGGACTTCCCAGTTTGCCTGGGCAGCAGGAATTCTGGATTGCAGTCTCAGCCTGCAGAATCTCCAACAGGAACCATTTCCTCCTCCACAGAGTAGAAGGCCTGCTCCCTCTGCCTGGGGAGTGGAGGGCCCCAGGTCGAACAGCCAGGCCCCAGTGGGGGAGGAATAGTCCCTCGCGGAGCTGAGGGTGGGGCTCCTGCTTCCTGACAAGTTGGGGCCTGGAATCCTGTGCTAGGTGGCTGGGTGCCCTGCAACCCACAGCCGGCTGCTGGTAAACAGTTAGCATTTCACCTCTCCTTGCTCCCAGGCTCATATTAACTGGTTACTGCCCCGACTGCAGTGTCTGGCCAAATCTCTTTTTCTCGTAGGCTCATAGGACTTTCTGTGTGGAGCAGCGGGAACTGCCCAGTTTTTTGAAAGGACTTTGGTCCCATCCGGGCCCGTTAAGAAGCAGAAAACCAGGGCCAGGGAGCAGGCGAGTGAAACAGTCACTCACCACAACCGGCTGCCCATGGGTGATCGCTCTGGAAGTGTACCCGGAAGCAGGCCTTGGGCAGAGGCCACCGGAATGTCACCTGATGCTGAACCCTCCCCCATGGCTGCAAAATCTGCTCCTCCCTCATCCCCCTCCCTGCCCAGGGCTCAGTAGCCACTAACCAACTCCCTGTGGAAGGAGAGAACGGGGTCTCCTGAGCTGCTTTGATCTGGTCAGCCTCCACCCTCAGACTGAGCCAATCCTGAGAGCCAGACCTCAAGGCCAAGGCCAAGGGTCCAGGGATCCAGGCCACTCAGTCTGCCCGTCTCTATCAAAATCAAAACGGAAACATGTAGCCAGCCCTGCAATTCGTTCCCCTGCCTTCAGGAAGCATCTCACCGCAATCAGTAAGCAGGTCAGGGGGAAGCATTCCTTCTGCCTTGCTGCAGTGGCTACAGCAGTCCCCAGACTGATGGCCTCTGGTGGCAGTCTTCTTCCAGTCACCCTGCAAACCCCCATCCGGGGCAGGACCTTCACTGACTTCACCCCAACACCTTTCACTCCTAACACCTTCACTGGCTTCTGGTGCCTTTATGTGAAAGTCCAGGCTCCCTTGCCCGGCATTCAAGGCCTCTGCAACCTGTAGGTACCCTAACCTTGGCTCCAGCCTCCTCTCCTTCCTGTTCCCCCACGGGAAATTGTCACTCCAGCCTGAGAAGCCTGCTGCGAGTCTGCCTCGCCCCCGCACTTGCCTTCCTGTGACTTCGCTCACATGTCCCGTATTCTCAATCCAGGATGCCTCTCTCCTCCTCTCGACCCCTTGATTCCATCCTCCTTTAAAGCCCTTGGCTTCTCCCAGAAGCTTTTGCTGGTGCCCGCCACCCCGTAGTCCTCTTCCCCCCTCTGCTCTCCTGGGATCCCACCACTGGCGTGCATTTGCTACTCTTACATGGCTCTGCCTTTTTTTTTTTTTTTTTTTTGAGATGGAGTCTTACTCTGTTGCCCAGGCTAGAGTACAATGGTTTGATCTTGGCTCACTGCAACCTCTGCCTCCTGGGTTCAGGTGATTCTCCTGCCTCAGCCTCCCAAGTTGCTGGGATTACAGGCGCCCGCCACCACACCCAGCTAATTTTTATTTATTTATTTGTTTGTTTGTTTGTTTATTTATTTGTATTTTTAGTAGAGACAGGGTTTCATTATGTTGGCCAGGCTGGTCTCGAACTCCTCACCTCTGGTGATCTGCCCACGTTGGCCTCCCGAAGTGCTGGAATTACAGGCATGAGCCACCGTGCCTGGCCCCGCGTATCTTATAAACAGAGATCTTACCTCCCTGGCTCATGATAGGTCTGTAGGGAATGGACTCTGGATTTCATGCCTCTCCATGAAATCCCTAGCATAGTGCTTTATACATCCAAAAAATGGGCACCACATATCTGTGGGTTGATTGGATTGATTGGCCAAGAGCTGAGAGGGGCTGTTAGCCTTCTGTAAGGGGAAGGGAGGGCTCAGGGTCTAGACTTTACTTTGCTGCTGATGAGAACCCAGTACTCAGATCCTGGGCTTCCTGTGGCTCCCAGAATTCCAGGCGGAGAAGTTCAGAGAGATGCTGGCTAGTTGGATAATACAATAGCCATAATAGCTTACATCTGTATAGTGCTGTACAATTTCAAGCACCTTTTATATATATTTGATGCTAACAACCCTATAAGCCACCGTAAGGCAGATGTTATTGTCTCCATCTTCTATATTTAAAGACTGAGGTTCATAGAGGCTCAGTGGCTAGCTGTGGATTAGAACTATCTTCCTTTAGCCCACTGGACTTGCACCTCTCTATCGTGTGCTCCCCAGTACACTTCTCTTATCTCTTATATAGCCCTGACATTTTCTACCTTATTGATGGTTATTTATGTCATGCTTTATGTCCCCAACCAAGGTATAAGCTCTTGGGAAGGGAAGATGTGTGCTTGACCCATCTTTGTGTTACCCTTCATTAACTGAGTCCCTGCCTCAGTTAATACTTGCAAGGGAATAAATGAATGAAGGTGGACACTGGAAAACACATAACTGTTGTCAAGCCAGAAACGAGCTTGGCCACCTTCCCTTTTCCCAATAATCCCTTCACCTTCAGAAGCCTCAAGACCGTGCTGCACGGGGCAATGGCCTGGCCTGAGGCAGGGCTGTGTCTCCCTGCCCGCCCATCTTCATTTCCCATCCCTGTTCTGCTGGTGGCCACTGGCCTCCTAGGGTCACATCTGCCTGGCACACACTGCAGCCTCCCCTGCCTGCAGGAACATTCAGCCCTTTAACACCTTCTCCAGCCACTGCCACCAAAGACTTCAGGAGACCCACTCACTAATGCCACCCTCTTGCCTGGGATTTGAGGCCACCCCAGACTCAACTGGATTCAGCTGGGACCCCAGGTGATGGTGGGAGAGCCGCAGGGGAGCCAGACATGCTCCCACTCACCAAAGATGGTGCTTCCAGCAGGGCAGGGCAGGGCCAGCCAGCTGGCTTCTGGGCGGTGTCCAGCCCCAGCTGTCCCCAGCAGTGCTTGGGGCTTGACTCAGCCCGAGGCTGCCGGGAACCTAGCCGCACTATTCTGGGAGTGTGATGGAGCCCCAGAAGGCTTGGCAGAGGCTGAAATTTCAGCCCTTTGGTTTCCACACCGTTCTCCTCCCCTCTGATGATACGGCAGAGTTCAATCATTATGCAAAATTCAGAACCACTGATGGTGCGTTTGAGGGTCTTAATAGCAGCTGTGGTTATGCTAAAGTGGGACCTGGGTCTATACTTCAACCCTCGGATGCAAAGGGCTTCATTCTTGCTGTCACTCACATGGCCTTTCGGCATTTTCCTTTAGTTTTATAATTTGTCCTCATGCCCACCCTGGTACATTAACCCATTCACAGGCACGAAACAATCCCTCCCAGTTAAACCCAGTGACCAATTGCCTCTGAGGGTCTTTTTTCCTATTAAAAAAAAAAATTTTTTTTTAACCACTAGACTATGTGGGATCTCTTTTTTTAATTGTGACTAGATGATTCTGCAGTGTAAGCAATAAAAGAAAGTTGAGTTTGGAGGACAAATGATTCGAGGTATAATCCATCTCAACTTCCAGCAAAGCAAAGTGCCCCAGGCTTGGCCTCTGAGAAGCCCTCCTCGCCCCCATCCAGACAATGGGACTGACTTGTTATCCTCTTGGGGAAGCTGGAGGCCAGGGTGGGAGGATGGGAGGAGCCTACCAAGGTCACCTGGCGATGGACATAAAGCTTAAGCCTGGGTTTTTGTTTGTTTGTTTTGCGACGGAGTTTTGCTCTGTCACCCAGGCTGGAGTACAGTGGCGTGATCTCAGCTCACTGCAACCTCCGCCTCCTAGGCTCAAGCGATTCTCCTTCCTCAGCCTCCCGAGTAGCTGGAATTACAGGTGCCTGCCACCATGCCCAGCTAATTTTTGTATTTTTAGTAGAGATGGGGTTTCACCATATTGGCCAGGCTGGTCTCGAACTCCTGACCTCAGGTGATCCAACCACCTTTGCCTCCCAAAGTGCTGGGATTACAGGTGTGAGCCACTGTGCCTGGCC